CTTGCTTCACTCCTGTTGGGAGAAGACATGGGGGCCTGGGGTCTCCTTATTCCGAGAGTTCCGCCTCCCTCTTCCACCTGTCAGTCAAATGCTATAAACCATTAAAGCCCATCTTGGCTCTTTTAACTTCTCATGCAATACTGGATAGGTGATTTTTTTTCAGCCAATAACAGATTCAAATTCATACTCCAAGGCAGATTACTCACACATGCAGATCTTCAGCACAGTTCTTCTCTCTCCAAACCCAGATATCTCACTACCATACACTCTCTCATTCTTGGCAGGTTCAAAACAAAGCACCATCTTACTCCCAAACCTGCAACCTCTCAGCCTAGCGCGCTGTACTCCAGGTAGGTAGCAGCTGGGGGCTGGGCTGAGTGCATGATGTCTCCCCTACAGCCCCCACTCCCACTCCGAATTCAACCCATCACTAGATTCTGTTGATGATTCCATGTCCTAAACACCCTAAAATCTATCCACTTTTGTCCATCTCCATCACCTCCCCTTTCTCCCCCCTTGTATATAAAGCTCTACAATAGCCTCTTAATAGGTCTGTCTGCATCTGAACTGAACCCTACCCTTATTCCCCATATTGCCCCTATGGTGAGACTTTTCAAAACTCCCAAGTATTTTCATGCCACCCTTTTCAACCTAAAACTCTGCCATGGCTCCCCACTGCTCTCAGGACAAAGTCAAGACTTTTACACATGGTCGGCATCTCTGCACAGCCCCCTCCCCAGCTCTCTGGCAGCCCGGGCTTGCACCTCCCTCTCAGTCACCCAGGTCATGCCTGCCTTCCTTTTTGCTTACATGTGATTATGGCTGTGCTCACAGCCATCACACGGCTTTGCACATGCTGTTCTCTCTACATGGAATGCTTTCCCCTCCCACTTTGCCCAGTTAATGCCTATGCATCTTTCAGATCCCTTCCTTGAGCTCCACAACTAGGTCCCATCCCAATATGCACTTCATCACATGCATTGTGTATCTTCACCTGAGGTGCTTGTAACAGAGGCAGTTTTACATTTGTTTATGATTGATTAATATTTATGTCCCTTTGTAGGCTCCCTAAGGTCATAGACCCTCCCTGAGGGCTTCCAACGGTCTGAGGGACAGTGAACTGGCCCCCTGTTTAAAAAGTTTGAGAACCCCTGTCATAGACCCTCCCTGAGGGCTGGGATCATTTCTGTTTTTGCTCAATATTATTATCCCTCGCACCAGAAAAAGCATCCTGCACATAGTAGGTGCTCAGTAAATGCTTAGTGAATAAACAAATGATGCAAGCTGACTCAAGAGCCATTTAACTTTACAGAACACAGGGCCTCCTTTGATCTAGTATGAGAATTCAATGATTCTGGGACTCAGCTGCACTCAGCAAATGTGTACAGCCCTGGCTGTGTGGCAGGCGCTGTGCTCGGCCTCCTGCGCTATGCCACTACTGAGCACACAATAGTAACTCTGCTGGAACTGGGTAGGTTGCTCTGTGGCATTAATGTCCTCTGGTAGCATCACACTTGGGTATAAAGGCCTGTCTCCCAGCTGCTCAAGCATGTTGAGAAGTTAAGTAGAAAGACGTGTGGTCTTCTGGGTAGATCCTCATCCCTCTTTCTGAGACCCGGTGCCCACTTGCCACATCCATCACACCTCTGGGTGGCAGGAAGGGGTGCCCGAGTTCTGAGGTTTGCTCAGGAGCACCCACTTCCTGTGTTAGGTGATTCTTATTAAAGGGAGTGGAAGTGGCAGGAGCCACTAGAGAAACATACTTCTAATTTCAAGCAGCTAGGTTATCTAAAGATCTTTACCACCACCACCCTCCCTCCTTGAAATGTTTACTTCCCCTAGTGACGGCTATTTTCAGTGACAAACACAGGAGCTTCTAAGCCAGGCACTCTCTAATTTTGGCTTCCCCTGGGTTCAGGAGAAAGAAGGCAAAAGGTAGCAGATGCTTTGCTAGTGGCTGCCTCAGTGCCAGCAACCTGCCTGTGCTACGACTGGTGCCCTGGGTCTCTGTTCCTGTCTGCCCTTCCCCACTCCCTCCGCTGCTGACTCTCGGCCATCTGACCATCTGCCTTGCTCTGCTCCCCGCAGTCACCACACATTGCTACCTTGCTGACACTTGCAGTGCCTTTGGGTGCCCATCTGGCTCAGACCTTGGGAGGTATGGACCCCTCCCTTCTACCGCTCCTCTGATGCCCCGTGCAGGCTCTGCCCACTGCTGCCTGGACTTGGTGGGACAATAATAATGATTTCTAAATGGCCAGAAAGCCACCAGCTATTGTAATTGGTGTAGCCACACCGAGCCAGCACTATTGGGTGGGTGGAAGTTTTTTTCTAATCTTAACATCTTATTATATTAAAATATCTATGTAAGTGTTTTTTGACTCTAGATGGAGGTTTCTCGAAGGCATATTAATTATACCCAGAGTGCCTAAAATATGAAGTTATTGGTAAGTCCTGGTTGAACTGAGGCTGGGGAGTGGAGTGGAAAAGGGCACAGAAGATGATGTGCTGACGTCAGCCCACCTGGAAGAAAGGAGGAAAAAGGGGCCATTTGTGGTTGTCAGTCCATCCCCTCCCTCAGGGCTGGGGCTGGGGTGGCCCAGGGGCAGAGCAGGAAGTTGCTCTTCCTTGGCTTTGCCACAAAGTTTCCTGGGTCTCTCACTGGGTGGTTCCCCCTCCCCCTCCACTGTGTGTGTAGCCCCACCCGTGAGAGAGCCTTTTGTCCTGACAAGCAATGCAAGTGGTGCTAGGTAGGGAGTAAATTTGGGAGAAAGTGGAAAAGAAAATGCTCTGATATTAGGAAAAAAGAGAAGATGGCTCTGTCATTTTTCTTTCTTTTCCTTTTTATAAATTATAAAAGTTTACATGTTCATGGGGAAAAGTCAACATTTATAAATAAAAGCTTCCTGCCTTCTCCAATTCTATACCCCAACACCAACCACTTTCATTTATTTTTATTTATGTTTGTTAATCCTCACCCGAGGATAATTTTTTCCATTTCAGAGAGAGTGGGAGGGTGGGGGGCAGGAGAGAGAAACATCTACGTGAGAGAGACATATTGATTGGTTGCCTCCTGCACACGCCCCTACCCGGGTGGTGTATCCAACCTGCAACCCATGTACTGTACATGCTCTTGACCAGGAATTGAACCCTTGACCCATAGGTGTGTGGGCTGATGCTCTAACCATTGAACACACCAGCCATGGCACCAACCACTTTTAACAATACTTGGAGAAGCCTTCTGGAAAACTTATACTATACAAAACTCTCTCTCTCTCTTTCTCTCCCCTCTATCTTTTCTCTATATAAACACACACACACACACACACACACACACACACACACACACAGGTAAAGAGAAAGACAGAATTTGATGTTGCAATGTGATGGAAAAAGAAAATGGTGGTTGAAGGACTTAGAGTGGGGAATGGACTTGAAGCTGACCTGAAGAGGTTGTTGATGTACCAGACTGGGGCTCCTGAAGGGAAGAAGTGAGGACTGCAAGGATGTAAGTGGGGAGCAGGGGTGTCTTCAAATAAAATATTTGCATTACAAAAATTTTCTTCTGCAGTTTCAGAGATGAAAAATGCAATAGCTAATTGGCCTCAAATTCCTTAACTGAAAAATGGGATCATAATGTACATTCCTTACAGGTTTGTTGTGAGGATTAAATGGGGCCTTTTTGCTTACAGTGTTTAGTATTGTGCCTAGCGCCATGTGCTAAGCTTTATTACAGTGAGTGCTATTATTATTGCTGATGTTATGGTGGTTGCTGTTGCTAGAGTGCCTAGCACAGTGCCTGGTACAAAACTGACCCTCTGGCCATCTGCAGCCAGTATACAGAAAGAACCTGATAGCATCTCTCTTCATTTCAGAAAATTCTTCTTTTTTTTCCACTGCCTTTGTTCCTTCCTTTTTTTTTTTTTTTTCTTGGCTGCTTCTAACTGCTTACTTTATGTTGTATGACCCTTGAAGAAAACTTTCTGGTACCTGGTGGACATAAATTCTCAGAGGCCTGTAGAGATGTTTTAGGTAGCAAAGGGTCCTGCACATTTTTTTACTTCCTCTTCTTGCCTGGCCCAAGCTGTTGGAAATGATTAGGTGGGAACATCTGTGTACTTGCTATCTTTTATACATTCTACCTGAGGTCAATTAGAATTGTTTACTTAAGGAAAATTCCTAAGAATCATTAGGGCCACTCCCTGATTGCCAGGTGCCTTTTAACACATTGACCCTGCAGCTCTGCTAGAGACATCCTGGCCCAGCAAACCTGTGCAGGGATACTCTGTGTGTTTCTACTTGTATTTAGAATGGCTGGCTGGAAACTCAGCTTTAATATTCTGCATCCCAAATGCGTTATTTTTAAATTGTCAGTACAAATAAGCCTGCCTACGCACTCTTCTATTCTTGATTTATAAATAGGTTCAGCTGCCTAGCAATTAAACATACTATATTTTTGCACATGCACATTCCTTAAGGAGACATTTAGACTGTAAATGGCTTTTCCTCTTGTGACACTATCTAGAAACCATCTTCCTAACTTTTCCCCAACAAGTGGGTATATTTTGAAGGACTGGCAAGGAGACTTTTGGTCTTTAAATCCCAAGTCACCATTTCCAATCTGCACAGAAATCCAGCATCAAATTTCTAGCCTATCTTCATAGGGACAAGCCCAGGACCAGCTGATACCTGCACGACATGCTTTATATCATACGTGGCCACACATGCTTACGGCAGTGTGAAACACCCGTGACCAAGACAATGAGACACCAGAGAAAAGACCGATCAGTGGGTTCTGAGAAGGAGACGAAGATGTAGTGTTAGGCGTAATTAAGTATTTGATAAGGTTGAAGGAAGAGGCAGGCATTGCATACCCCAAGGCCCAGGAGATTGGCTTGGCAACTCAGAAGGGAACATACGGAATAACGCTCTTAGGTTAACCTGTCAGAATTTCCATTCTGGACAGAACTGGGACTTGAATAATAATACCAAGTATTATATAACACTTCAGATATTGAATTTCATTTATTTCTCCACTTAATGCAATAAAGTAAGTAGATTAAATATCACCACTCTTTTACACACGGAGAAAGTGAAGCGGAGAGGATGGACACTCAAGCTAGTCTCTGCACCCTCTGACCTCACTCTGCATTCCTGTCTCCAGTGATGCTTCACCTGACACCAGGGTGTAGGGGAGTGAGCTCTGCTGACATTGGAGCCCTCAAGGCAGCAGTTCTGGCCTAGACTTTCCTTGGGGCTGACTGGGTGTGACCGCGGGCCCCTCTCTTGAGCTCCCAGCCTGATTCCTTCTGGTAAATGTCAGGGGTGGGTCTGGACGATCTCTCCAGCAGAGCCCAGATGCTCCTTGACAATAGGCTGTAGCCGATTTGAAGGGCCAAGGAACTGGAAACAGAGTAGGGCATGCGCAAGGGAACTGCCTTAGAAGGCAGAGAAAAGGCAGCGCCCGAGGGTGATATATTGGGTTTACAGGCTGAGAGGCCAAATGACTCCATAGTTTGTAAGTAGTGAGTGTGCAAGAATTCAAGCGGCAGTTTGGTTAGTTTCAGTGTTCAATGAACCCAGGTCTGTCTTTTTTTCGTAGCTTGGAGCTCAGTCCAAGGCAGAGGAATCCGGTCGCACCAGTGGGGGGCTCCACCGAGCGCAGTCTCCAAATCTCCCCAGGGCCACCCGGCTGCCCAAAGGCTCCTCGAGGAGTCACTGCGGGCGCTGAAAAACTGTCGAAGGCGTTTCACCCGCGTCCACGCTCTTCCTTCCTGGCCGGCCGCCCCCGC